TCGCCAGCATTTTTAGGAACCCCTGTATATAGTTGCCGAAGCCTAAGATGAATTCTTACCTCATGTGCTGGGCGCCCTCGAAGGATGCAGCCGTCACTGACACCTCGAGGAGTGTTGGTGCCACCCTCGAATCTTGAGCGGAGCTTTTGCTCACTTGTGTTGAGGAGGGTGGGGGAGTGAACATTTGGATTCTTGCAAGGGTTAAGCAGGGATAATGAAATCCGCCCTTAAAGCACCAGTGAGACTATGAATCTGCTAAAGGCTTGAAGTTGAAATTCGCGGTCGATGCAACCGCTTGCAACTGTAGCCTGATGACCTTGCCAAGGCATAGAGAGTCCAGCCAAGAAAGAAGAGGCCACGTGCTGCAAATTGCAGGAACAGCTACTGACATGGGTTTAGGCTTTGGGGTTTACGGACACAAAAAAAGGAAGATCAAATTACAACTGGGCATACACAGTGGTTTTTAAGGATTATGTTTGATCCATGTACCTGATACGTATCAAAAGTGGATCAGAACTTCCGACGATAATTTTTGACAAGCAGGTTGTTGCCAGCACGAAGTTTAGTGATCACCATGAAGTGATCATTGGCTTCGAGTGAAGTAGTTTGATGTACGGAGTGAAGTAGTTTGATGTACGCCAAGTAAACAGGTTCATGTTCCGAGGGTAAGCCATATTCTTGTTAGCTTCGCATGGTGTACAGCTCGAGTGGTTGTTGATTCCTTGCATGCAGGCTTGACAAGAATGAAGAGGGGTTCACTGAGTTTTCTTTTAGGCTCTTCCTGGGCCCTTGTGCTAATTGGTTGCAGAGGCTCCTCGCATCATCTCCCCGGCCGATGAGCTCCAGACCCGCAGGCTCAGGGCTTGTAACAAGCAGTTGCCTTTCACAGTTGGGTAGTTCTCAGAATTGTGGGCCTTCCGCATGGGCAGCGGGCACTATACAGTGTATTGTACAGCACAATGTATGCTGAATTTCAAAAGATGGGTTGCATCTCGCGATCCATTCCTCAGCGGAAGGCTTGTGCTGTCAACACTCGTCTAGCAAGCAAGAAAGAAACACATATGGAGTGTGCGCACAGGCTGCAAGTCTTCCTTACCAACATCAGCCAAAATCCACAACGTCTTGTGGGATCCTTAGTGCCGATGTGCTTGGTACACAAGGGCTGTCAATCCCTCTCAATATGAAGAACCCCTACTATTGAACATGTCACCCAATTTGCAATGCCTCTAATAGGGAATATTCTTTGTTAGGGGGTATGCAATATTACGGGTTAGTAGCAGTCCGTGGAATGCATTCCCATTAGGCCACTTGATGCGCAGACCATCAAGTGTAGGACGTTTTTTTGCCTAAAGTGAGACTCCTTGGAGTTTTATGAAGGCATATTTGACGTTTTAATGCAAAGGCTACAGGGATCTTTTCGTTGCTAGTTGCACCTCGTTGAAGCGAAGTTTCTACTGGGTATGTACTGCCATGCGTGTCAAACATACATCTTGTTGAAGCGAGTCTATGCCAGCATTTCATGAGCTATGCCTGCAAGCTTACGACCCCGACCCGAGAACGCCAACCTTGAAGCCCTAACCGTAAAAGCAAAATTTGGCCACCATGATTCTGACAACTCGACCAAGCTCCTAAGACTTTCCAACAAGCAGGACGGACAAAGGTGCCAAAAAAAGCTCAAAGCTTGAACGTTAAGCCCTCAGATCCGGAGCCTTGTGTTCCTGCAGGCTCTGGAGACCTTGCCCATTAAGGAACTCAAATCCTCCTTGAACCCTAAACTCCAGAACCCCCAACCCCTAAACCTCAACCCTAGGGCCCAAAACTCTAGAGCTCATCCGCGAGGTTGAAGCGGAAATCATCAAAACCTAGACGCATCTGAAACCCAACAGGTCACACACGTCGAGCGCAGGCAGGTCTGTCCTGGAACCGCTGTATTGGAGTGGTTTCAGGGATTTTAGGCTTTTAGGGTTTAGGGTGTAGGACTTGCAGCTGAAGCGTCGTGCCTCAACCTAGGGAGGTCATGGGCGACGTTCCGCGCGAAAGCGAAGTCCCACCCAAGACCACCCGATTGCGTGCGTCCAAGGGTTATGGCCAAGGCGCCAGCTTGGATGCCAGTTACGTCTGGAGTTTGGACAGATAGACAAGCTTTTGCAGCAGTTGGGGTCAAGCTGTTGGAGACTTTCAAGCGTGTGCCTGTTTGTTAGTTTTATCGTAACGAATCCCATCTTGCTTCTTGATGGCAACTAACATGCAGCTGGATCCCACTTGAAGTCAGGCCTTGAAGCCGTGAACCTGAAAGGAGTTTAGTGGCAGAAGCAGTGGGGCGCAGAAGTCGCAACATGTGACATGCTTCCTGTCGCGCAAGGCGTGCAGACAAAACAGCTGCATCCTTTATGCGCCTTGGCTGGTAATAGTTTGTCTTCGTTGCTGAGTTTCTTTTGACTGAAGGTTGGGTTTGGAGTTAGGCAGACCTTAGATTTCAGAGTCGGGCATTGGGGTCGAGAGCTTTAAGGGAGTTTTCACAGTTTCGCATGCCATTGAAGCATCGCCAAAAGATGAAGATTTCAAAAGACTCATTTGATCGTTGCATTTTCCCTGTCTACTTGCTGCGTGCTGCCATATGAGATGCAACAATTTTCAATGTTATCCTTACAAATCCTAAATCCAAAGCCGGGATCCCTAAATCCTAAGCCCTAGCCCGAAACCTTCAATCCTAACCTTAAACCCTCAACCCAGGATCCTAAACCCTGAATCCTCAAAAATCCTAAGTCCTAAGTGGGGGTTTCCCAAAATTAGGGGTACCAATTTGGGGGTCCCAATTATAAGGACTATAGTATTTTGGGGTCTATATTGGGGTTCCCTTATTTAGGAAATTACCAAATCCAACTTCACTACGTTCATGGCTTTTGAACCGAGGTGAGTCGAGCTGCATCCTGCAGCGAAACAGCACCCTGACAGCAGCACGCAGGTTAAAGTGTGTAATCTAAGGGTTATGTGGGGTATATCGGGGTCTAGGGATATGATACAAAGGGTTGTGGGTCTGGGGATTCCCAAGATGTGTTTGAAGTGTCTAAAGAATTATTATCGTTATTAGCTATGTTACTGCTAACATCATATCATCAGTGTTGCTACAATGGGTCCTTAACCACCCCATAGCTAAAGGGTACAAAAATTCAAGCCCCAGGGTCATCGCATACACGAAGAACCCCAAACTTGGCAACGCAATTCCAACGAGTTTTTTCAGGGAGTGAGCTTGGGGACCTGTACCCCAGCGTTCAGGGAAGCTCCCTTCGGAAGTCCGCAAATACTGTACTTTTTAGCAAAGCATTGGCATCCAGCATGCAAGCGGCAAGTGAGTGAGGGACCCAGGCTTAGGTGCACGTACTAAGGGGCCCATGGTTTTACGCTTAGAACTCCAATCACCCCATTTACCATTGATGCTTCTTTTCAGGAGACCTCCATCCTGAGGCTATTACGCCTGCATGAATCCCTTGTGAAATGAGACATGCTGCTCGCGTCCATACGTTTGAAGCCGCGTGGGGAGCGGCATGGTAGACTGCCTGACACTCTTGCTGGCTGTTAGAAGGGAAGGCAGGAATGGACAAGAAAATGGAAGCGACCCCTCAAGATTATCTAATCCTAGAGTTCCATTCCTCCATTCTCTACTAGCAAACAGTAAGCAATGAGAGTAGTGGAAGTTGACTTCCCACTGGCAGCTTGGCTAACAGCCCAGCTGCCATAGAGCCACCGCGATGATGATAACATGAACACCGGCGTAAGGACTCATGATACTCGTTGTCTCCCTTGCCTGTCTATAGATAAGGATGTCTAAAGATGTGCACGGAGATCCCAGTCTACTTCTTTAGGTACTTCTAAAGCAGCGCAGCCCCACGACCAGGCCCCGGGCTTGCACTTGATATGGATGGATTCTGACTTTGCTTCTTTTGGGGTCCATGCAACATCCCAATCTCAAAAACGCCCCTCATGCTCCCTATGCAACTCCTAAAGAGTTTCTACATCTTTCCTGGAAATCCCACGTCAATACTATAAACTATAGAATCCCAAGTTAAGCCTCTAGTCCAGATAGATGCATCTGAAAGAGCGTGTGGCAAGTTCCTCGGTTATGTCCGACAGATAATGCACGTTTCAGCTTAGAGCTTCTCGCTAAGCGAGCTTCCTTCAGTTGGCAGTTCGGGGGCTTGAGGCCTCAACCCTAGGAACCCCAAGATGAAAGCAAACTTGGTTTGCTTTACGAACTGGAGACGAACAAGTCAAAGTGGGCAGACTTATTGCCAGCTGATTCCTGCCGCATGCTGAGCATGGGGCCTTTTTTCATGCGGGCTCTACGGCTATCATGCTGTGCTGAGAGGAAAAATGGACACATAAGCATATCCACAACGCAGGCCGTCTTTGCGTTGGCCTCTTTCTAGTTTTACATTCCAAGCAAAGCTTCAGTTGGAACGTGTTGCTTTGAGGTCAGGAGGTGGTGTTTGAACAGTATACCAAAAACCCTCAACGAGTTCTTCGGGTTTGCAAGTTATGCGACCTACCTGAAGGATGTGAATGCCTGGTTCTGAGTCCTGCACGTCATCTTCCTGAGCTGGCCAATCCTCTCGGAAGTCCTCTCCTGGAGCGCTCCCAACTCTGTCCCATGGCCATTCTCCAACACTGCTTCCATAGTTATGTGGAACTGTCAAGAATCAAATCTTGCACACAGACATGTCCCAATGATTTCGTGCACTCGGGGATGTATCGCGTCCATGATTCCATCAACCTGCAAAATCCATGTCAGTGACATTTTTGAACAAGCTGTTCAGTGCGGGTTCGTGGCGCCAATGATTTGCCAAAACTTAAGTGTAACGCAAGCTGCCTTCAATTCCGCTGCTGTGGAGCACCAAAGCTTTTTTCTCTTCCTAGCACCAAGTGTTTTTCATCAAAGAAACTCCAGATGCCCTTGCCTCAGTGTGCTGTTACGGCTAGGTTCAGTGCGTTCAGTCACATGCATGATCATAACGAGGTATTTGGTGACCAAGCGGTCCCTGTATCCGTGTTCCTCTACCAAGGATCTTGGATATTGAGCTAAAGCCAGATGCTCTCCAAACTTTAAGGAAGCTTAAGAATCTTAAAGCTCAAGGGCAAAGCAGCAAACCATGAAGCACAAACATCAGGTCCAGGCTTCTGAACTTTCGCCTGCTTGTCCTGGCAGCGCTGGCCGCGTCAGGATTTGCAGAGGACCGGGCCCGGCTCTTGGATTTTTGAGTATTTCGGGATTTATAGCGTTCAGGCTACCAATGATCGAGAATGAAATGGAAAGAATGGAACATGGAATGGAAACTGGGTTTCGAGGTGTGTAAGTGTCTGGGTAGGGTCCGCAGGAACAGTAGGCGCCTGTCAAGCCTGGTTTTTTTACACATCGGACTGCTTATCTCGGGGTGTCGGGCCTTATTCTCCACGACGGACAGGTCGGTTAGAAGATTTTGGGCAGGGTTTTGGTGCGTCGGGTTTAGATGGAGGTATGCAGTCCAGCTTCTGGTTGAGAGTCCAAGAGCATGTATGTAACCTTAAGGTAGCCAAGGGTGCGGATGGTGGTACCTTCCGTCATTCATTCTTGCACCATGAACATACATTTGAGCCCGTCGCATCTCCGGGCCTCAGGCTTTCAACATAAAACCCAAGCCACAACTGCAAACCGCTGCACGCCCCGAAGCACGCAAACCATTGGAACCTTTGTAGAAAAGCCTTAGGCTAAAGAGTGCAAACCGGCTTCGAGGAGACCCATGGGGCCTTGAAGGCAGACGACGAGTGTCGCGCTGAGGATGGCGAAGGCTGTGGCCTCAGCGCGCTGCAGCTTCGAGGCGGGGTGGGGGACTTCGGTAGGCACATAGGTTGGGTTTAGGATCCAGGTTTAGGGGTTAAGGGTTGAGTGAAGGGGTTTTGACTCTTCAAGTCCTGGCCCAGAGAATCCTGGTGCTTGAGTATCGTCTGTCGAGGTCTGTAGGATTGTTGCAGCCAGCATCACGTGATTGCCATTCTGCTCCTTGTTTTGTTATGCTGTTATGAACATCTTGAGGCTGGACCTCATGAATGTTGAACCTGTTATTTCTATTCCATTGCTCCTACATTTGACCGCAGTTTCTCAACGCAAGGTACACTCAGCTCTTACAGCGTCCTTGAACAGAGGCTTGAAGGTGGCGAGCTGGCATATTACGCGTTACTTGAAAGTCTAGTTGCTAGTTGCTCCTTCTTAGCCCTGTCTTCCTGGAGTTCTTAGCGTCCCTGTTTTTCGTGAAACTCCCAAGTATTGAGAGGCACCTCCAAGTTCAGTCCCGTCTCTGACGACATCATGGATGAGCTGGAGGATCTCGTGACATCTCGTGACCTCACAAGCCCTTGAACTTTACTTAAGGTATTGGTTCTGGAGGTCTTGCATCAAGCGTCAAGCACGGCAAGCATAGGAACAGCAATTTGATCAACGCCAGATGCAGCAACGATCAGCATACCAATTCCACTCAGAGCTGAGTGTGTTTCCGCCCTGTTGCAGATGCAGGTTTCTCGCAAGTAGTGTCCCTTAAACACCCCATAGGAAAAACGAGGATCCATCCAGCATTGAAAGGCTGCCAAACTGCGCCAGGACCCAGATGACGAGGAGGATGAAGAAGAGGAGACTACGACTACGACGACCGAGCCAAAGGCGGAGGAGTCACTGGGTGCCCAGTTCCAAGAGCCTTAAGGGACCTGACTGGAAGGCTAACAACGAAGCAGGGAACTTCCTTACTTAGAAGACGTTACAAGGTTTATCGAATCCTTTGAAGGGGTCTGGACTGGCGCTTCAAGTGGAATGGCGAAATTTTGCAAGCAACGGATCCTTTCTGATCGTTGTATAAGAAATCCGCATGTGAGTTCCATTGGTTGGAATTTTCGCGCAAATGCGCTGCTGCAAAACAGGGAGCTCTACACCTGACAAAATATGTACGTACATCAAGCGCCCACCGGTTAAATACTTACAGCAAGGAGGAGCCTGAGAAGGAGGAGCAGGAGGAGGACGACGAGAACGCCCCCGATACCGAGGAGGACCAGCCAGCTGAAGGGGAGGCCGGGGCCCAGGCTTCTGGTGGCGAGCGGGTTAAAAGTGGATTTTAGGGATTATAAAGGAGATGTAGGGGAATTCTCCACATTGCCGCCCGAATGAGGCATAAGCATGGACGCCTAAAGGCAAGTTATCTTATCACAGGACCTGCTGGCAGTCGGCCAGGGGTACACGTTCAATAGCGGTTGTAGCTAAATCTTATTAGGTCCTACATGGTTGCTACGAAGACCACGTTGTTGTGGATGTGTCCAAGAGAGTAGGTAGCTCTTGTGTTCCAGGCTTCCCCGGTTTTTCTGGCTAGCTCACGTCTCAGATTCCGGCCGTTGAAAGAAGATGATCAACAAGCACCCGGCGTACCACGGCAGCTACCAGAGCCTCAGAGGTTATCACGCCCCCCAAAAGGAGGGTATGAGCAACTGCCTGAAACAAACACAGAACTCAAGTTTCCTTTCAGCATCCTTTGTACTCTACAGAGATTGTTGTTCCACAAGGGGGCAGGGGGTTTGAATATGTGATCATCCTACCTGTATGCGGGCTTGCTACCAGTTATTCTGTCATGAATGATACTGTTGCTATCCTTGCCTCCGTGGGAAGGGAACCCATGAAGAAGCCTGAATGTTTTTGGCAACTGAATGTTTTTGACAAGTATCCCGCTACAGGCCTTCTAAAGCCCTAGCAGAAACCTATTCTAGTTGTCTTGGATCGCGCAGTAATCGCAGCCATGGCGCCGCCGAGAAGTGGCTCTCTAAACCCTAAACCCCTAAACTTTCAGCCCTAAACGCCTAAACCTCTAAACCCTAAACCCCTAAACCTCTAACCCCTAAACCTCTAAACCTCTAAATCCCTGAACCTCGAAGCTAAATACTCAAGAGGTTAGGGTGGGACCCTACAATTTGGGGTGGGACTTTTCGATATCAAACCTGACACTCCAAACCCCATATGGGCGGGCTCCCACAGTTGGGGGGGGTTCTAGGGGTTATATAGGGTTTCGGTTTTCCCAAAATTGAGGGGGCTACCTTTTCAGGAGCCCCCATAATAAGGACTATAGTATATTGGGGTCGATATTGGAACCCATTATTCTGGGAAACTACCATGCGCCAGGAGGATGTGACAACCACCACGGTAGAAGGTGAACCGCACCCTGAGGATCAATCAGCATGTTGAGTGGTTTTAGGGATATTTTGGATTATTGCCTGGGTTGAAGATGTATTATGTCGGGGTTTAGGAGTTCAGGGTTATCATAGGGGCCATGGGTTTTCAACAAGGGATGCTACCTTGCAAGGCTTTTACATGACCATCCGGAGCTTTGGGTGCAAGGACACTTACATGTGGGGTCTTGAGGAAGGTACTTGGAAGCGCTGGAAACTCGTAACGCGGCTTGGAATCAAGCCCTACAAGAAGCTTCATTTCCGTTCTCCGAACTACTAGGAGCATACCTGTTACGTCTGCTCGAGCTTCTTATAAAGTCTTTTTGTGGTTTAGCACGCCTACGGCGTTGTTTTGCCATGCTGGGATGCGATAGTTTTTTGGGTGTCGTGGCAGGGTGACACCATCTTGGGAGCTGTGCAACAGTTGGATTGATACCGTGTGGATCAAGATATAGTCCAGGAACAGTGGTTGTTTCGCCTGACGCTTTTCATTGCTTCTGATTCCAGTTGCTGAGCACTTATTACAGTGTTTCTCAGCCCTTATGACATTTGACAGGTTTCGAAAAAGCATGCTGACGCTTGCCGTTCTTGGATAGGAGATCTCACTCTGTTCTTATTGAGCAGGGAGGTGCAAAACAGGTCTCCGCAAGACTGGTTTAGGGGGATGGATGTCTGACATAGATGAATCTACAAATCCGGCCCCGCGGGAGGTAATTGGTTCTCCACTTTGAGGGGCCAACTTGGCAAATACTTTGAAGGGCGTGTATATGACCCCTAGTTCAAGCCAACGCAGCCCGCAAGTTAGAGTCCTGTGATGGTGCAGGATGCGAACTGCGCCCAAGTCGATCAACAGTGCGGCGGACAGTGGTACTACGGCCCACAGTGCTGCCCACATGACCACATCTGCTACGAGGCTCTCCGCCAAGTTCAGATAGATGAAGCTGCTCCCAAAAGGAGGGTTTTCCGCTCAATAATGCGTCATGAAATGGAGAATCAAATGGGGGCTAATGTATATACGGACTACAGGCTTACATGCAACACCAAGTTGTTACTCTGACAAGAAGCCATCATCCCTCGCAGCACATCTCCACTGTGGCATCACCAGGTCAACGTGCAGCGGGGTTGACGTGTTTATGGGCTTTCAGATGGGAGGGAGTGGGCCCACAAAAGTCCTAATAGGCAATACTAGTAGCTAGTAGTAGTAGCGATGGAAGTATCTGTAGTTATGGCAGGAGTACGTAGTAGTAAGAGGAATAATAGAAATGGTTGTACAAGTAGACAGAGGGCTACTCAAAGGCCTCCCTGGCCACCACTGGCGGCTGTTTTGCAAAAGCCCTCCATCCCCATCATGCGAATATTCAACATTCGGGGGATGCGGGGCTTTGATATTAGGGGGAGGGGATTAGCCCCAATGTAATTTGTGAGAAGGACGGGTTTCTCCGCTTCTGATTTTTTCCCCACGCCCTAAGCCCTAAACCCTAAAACCCTTAGAAGAATCGTTGGAATCAAGGCCTCATACTATTCAAGAGTCACCAACCAAGCTGTATTGGAAAGAGCCGGTAACCCCAGATTGCCCTCTCAAACCCTCAACAAGCTTCAGCTGAAATTGCTTCACTGTGTCTTCAAGGCAGACCCTATTGAGCCAGTGCATCATGTAGTCCTTAGCCCAGCCCTTAAAGACCGCATCCAATGCACAGGTAGGCGTAGAGGAGGTAAAATCCCTTACTGGATTGAGACCACAACTCAGCGTCACTACCCTGAAACCTGGACCAATCACCCTGGCAGGGGCATACTAGGACCTAACCAAGTCTATGCGGAAATCAGCAGACTTATATTCAGATCCCAGAGTAATGCACCGGCAGCGGCGCCAATGCGCGCATGAGAGCGCGCACGGCATCAGCAAAAAACCCCAAAACCCTCGCATCCTAAATTCCTAAACCCTAAACCCAAAAACCTTAAAACCCTAAACCCTAACACCCTAAACTCTAGGAACCTAAGCCCTGAAGGTAACCCCTTGCTCTGAAACCTGACTGCAATTGCCAATTTGGATGGGGTTATATGGGGTAGTATGGGAGTTATATGCAACTATTGCCCCAAGAACAGGAAACCAAACATAGAGTTCACATGGGAAATGACATGGAAACTAGGTTTTAGGACTAAGTTGGGGAGCGCCAGGTTATGTCAGGTTGAAACAGCACTCTACAGTCTCATTGATGCCTACCTAGATTTCAAGCCGCAGGTGAATCAGTACTACTCAAAGTGCGTCACCCACGAGACAGCTGAGGAGCTTGACCAGAATTGGGAGTTTCCACAACTAGAGGTCACCATTATCTACCGGGTTCCTCATGCTTGGACAGATTCATTGTGTACCTCCTGTTTTGCAATTCTTGCCACAGAGATTCCTGATAGGGATCCTTTGACAAGTCTTCGGGTGTAATATAGGGGGAATCTACGGGCTATATAGCGATAATGGAAAAGAAAATGGGAACTACTATTTAAGGTTATTAGTAAACCCCCATCCCTTTAAGGGCCTGACAATATTTCCTCCGGATATTTCCGCGGCAACCCATGGTCTGTTTTTTTCGATGTTTGTGCCTTGGGGTCAAGAGTCGCATCCTCACATCTTGAATTCGGAGCCGTATGGGGGATTCCCAAAATTTGGGGTACCACATTGGGGGTCCCCGTAATAAGGACTATAGTATAGTGGGTCTGTATTGGGGATCCCCCATTCAGGGAATCTACCGTATGTTGCCTGGGTTTTTGGAGACGTGTTGTCATCCTGTGCACATTGCTGTACTTGCACATGCGCAGAAAGACCTTCTTGATGTGGTGGAATGATAATACAGTAGTTTCCATCTTCTTTTCCAGTATCCCTATATTATAACCCCTATATAACCCCAATATATACCCTAATATACTAGAGTAGTTTCCATTTTCTTTTCCATTATCCCTATCTAAACCCCTATATGTTCCCTATAATCCCTATATAACCTCAAGCCCATCTCCCCTTGAGTTTCCAGCCTTGGTTCAGAGGGGGAGCAGATTCCCATGGTCTTATCCGAAGGATGTCACTGCAAGTGCTAGGAAAACTGATGTGCTGCTTTAGAGAATCAGTATCCACTTCTAAGAGCTCGTGGTCCTTTCTTCCAAAAGCGCGCCTTGCTGAAGTGACAGACTTCCGTGCACCATGTCAGTTAGATTTTTATAGTTTTCATCTTTGCGCTGCTTGGAACCCTCTCTGACATTGACTGGTATGCATTTAAGGCAAACAGTAGTTTCTATTCAATTTTCTCTGAGTTTCCACGATCTCTTGTGTAAGCCCTCTGTAATCCCTATAAACCCCTTTATGATGCATGCATTACTTTGAAAGGCTACGACGTCAAGCCGGCATTATCAGTGAGTGCGAAATGTTCTTGAGTCATCAGCATACGGCGCAGCGTCTGTCCCGCGGGCGATTTGCTTAAGTAGCACTGGCAAGTGCGTTCAAATAAATAGGCCTTCAGGATGTTTCCTGTTTCTTTTCCGTGCAACAACTAGCCGTTGGAAGTAAACATTGGTTTTGGGAGTTAGAATCACCAGCCGTTTCCGCCGTGAATCCCTTCCTTCAACCAGCAAGGAGATACTCAGACGGTTCCTTGTGATAGTTGAAGTTATTTTTGCTACAGCAGAGTCTTGATGAATCTGCCTCAGATCAGCAATTCCCAAGTATGTAAGGCCTTCAAAGCCCCCAGCAAAAGCCCCGAATCTTGTTGCAAGTCCCATGCAGACTCTTCAGTGCCTCGACTGACCCCAAAAAAGCTTACAGCAGGATAGATGGTCTGGATGAGAAGAAGAATCGTGTTACTATTTTAAAGCCCGGTTTAATGCACTGTTGGTACTTGGCCAAACCCATCTGAACTCAAACGACCCTAGCCTTCGTGGTGGGAGTGGATCCTGATAAGACTCTCATCTAATCCCATATTAGACCTCTACAGTGACCCTCAAATTCACTTCCCCACTTCCCCCTAACTGTGAACCCCACCTCAAGGAGATGGCCAAGCACGAGACTACGACCACCACCACGACCACGAATGCTGACCCACAGAATTGCCGCATGGGATATCAGTGCTTTGGCTGTCCACTTCCCTAGGTAGGGAAAGCCCAGGTTGTAACCAGATGGTATCCCATGGTCTCTTCTAGTCTTACAGGTAGATGACACTCGTGTTTAGTCATAGACCTGCCTAGCGCTAGGCCCTAAATCCCCACATGACCGCAGCTGGAATTTCATGCTCCCGCTTCTTTTGCATTTGATTCTCCGTAATCCCCCTTTTAACTCTGGTATAATTATCGCCTATTATACCAGTGTAGTGTTCTGCCTAGCAGGGAAATCAGAGATTAGGGCTCATCGCTGAGGGTGTAGGGTTTGCGGATTATATAGGAATAGGGTTGATGGGGATGTTACCCGGGTTATGTGGGGTTGTACAGGGTATACTGGTTGTCCGTAGGGGTAACGAGGCTAGTATTTCGATTCATTCCTCCATTCGCCACTAGCAATCAGGAAGTACTGTGCCCTGCATTGGTGTCGTAAGCTTACCATTCTTTTTTAGTTGCTGGCTATGTGCTAGCAGATTCTAGTGTTGTCTTCATTGCAATGTCAGCGTTTCCATCAGTTTCATAGTCTCAGATAAGAGGTCGGTATGCATGTGTTCTGTCATCTGGGCAGTGGGCGGCAATTATGATCTGCAGTTCGAAGTGTGCAACAAGGTTGTGCACTAGCTGCTGCCTGGCTGACCCCCATCCAAGCCAAGTTGAAGTGAACGGAGCTGTTGCAGTTCAATCCGTTTGTTCGATTCGTGCTGGTACCATCTTACACACAGGCACCATAGTTACTATAGTTCTATAGTCTAAATTCATTGAGGAGGTCATATCAGGGATTATATAGGGACCACTAGGGGAGACTGGAGCTCATATGATTTTACATGTGTTGTCTGCACTCTGCGCATTTCATTTACCTACATCCCAGATTCATGAGCTTTGCCCCTGAGCCGTGGTCATGGTAGGGATCGGGTTTAGGGTTTAGGGGGGGCAAAAGGAGCTTACGCATCAGCAGTTAAGATCTCCAGTATTTTTTGAATCCAAATTGCTTCATATGGTAGCCTCCATAAGTAGGGGACCCCCAAATGGACCCAGACATAATATCATCCGTTGTAAAGGAACCCCCAAAACCCCCAAAAGGTACCCCTTATTTGGGGAAATCTAAAACCTTATGTATATATATATATATTTACATGTACATATTATATCCCTGTATAACCGTGTATATATTTATCTTTATCCTTTAAAGGTCCCCCCCCAATTTTTGGAAACCCCTCATATTGCTTCCATTGCTTCCTTCTCTCAGGCAGTGCGGTGGCACCAACCAAGACACGAAGATGATCCTGGATCATGCTGACAAGTAAGATAATTGGGTTTAGGGGTGAGGGTTTAGGGTTCAGGGCTGAGGGTCAGTTTCTACTGGTCCAAGAGTGGGTTTCCAAACTCGGGGTACCCCTTAAAGGGATTAGAAGGGGTTATAAAGGGTTTGTATGGGATCTAGGATTTAGGGCTTTCCTAAACTTAGGAGCACTTCTTGGGGGTTTCCATAGCAAGGCCTATTGTATATTGGGGTCTATATTGGGGTGCCCCTTTTCTTATGGAAACTACCCTGTTGTTTCAGTACAATACCCCCTTACCGAAGGTACTGCTACTGCAACAACAATACTCCAGTAATTGAGGCTCCAATTTGATTTGAAGAAACATGTGGTTCATCCAGTTTGACAGGGATGCACCACAGAGGGGTCCTCATAATACCCACCCACACAGTACATAAGGTCCTGAAGCACCTCATTCTCACCTCCATCTAGTCAGCAAGTGCTTTCTCATTTCGAGATATACAGGGGACTACTGGTCATTGAGGGGGATACTAAGAGTTTAGAGTATGCCTCATATTACCTTTGGAGCATCTCTGCAGGCTCGGCCTCAAATTTAGTACCCCTATATTTATACCCCTATATTTATACCCCTATATTTGTATATCCCTCTATCATACTCCTTAGGCAGCCTCCAATTGTCATTTTGAATTCTTTGATCTCACTCAACTTTCTGATGCCCCTGCTCATCATCGTTCCCACGCAGTTGCTGCACTGTCCCTCTGTATCGCCAGTAGTGTCGGTAACATGACGCTCAATCGCAATAATTACCAGACCCTGAACCCCATGCCCTAAACTCTAAGCCAGAAGCCCTCAGCCCTAAATCGTAAACCGTGAACTCTAGGCCCCAAACTCTGAAGCCGCCCACCCGGGGCCCAGGAACTATACTGGCACCACCTGCTGCCATGCCGGCTTCTTTTGCAAGCAGGCAGGGCATCAGACGAGAAGGAGGGGTTCTGGAGTCAGAACGATCGCAAGAGATTTGGAGGGCACATGTTGGGGATTGTGCAGGGATCCGTTGCATGAATACTGTGTCCCCTGCCAAGAGGGATAGGAAGATAAGATCCCAAGCACATTATTGATATGGCATTTTTTCACGCCGACCCGCAAAGAGCCTCAAGAGGAGTGCTTTCAATCCCTTGGACATCTGCAAGTCCATGTACGAAACCTGGGTCTTTGGGTACATGGCCTACGCTGTCAGGTCGATCGTTTCTACTCCCAGTGCGAACCGGTGGATCCTTGACCAGCACCGGGAACGGGCATCTCTCCACACAAGCAGATGGAATAATCAGTACATTCTGCGTGGTTCTGCCAGTTTTCTGCCCAGAAGGGCTTACCAGAGTAGAGGATTGATTGTGACTCCTTTCTAGATTCTAGGTCCTTATGAGGAAGAGAAGACGCAAGGGGAGGGAAATTGCTCGATACAAGCGAACATGGCCCCCAAAACTTTGAGACGTTGCGTGGTTCTTCTCGAAGGCTCCTCCATGGAGAACAAATGCGGACTGCGTATGTCACGACCTTCGAAGAGAGAACCACGCGTTTTGTATGGCTTCTTTGACTGTAAGTTTTCAAAGCCCTGGGCGCATTAGGTGTCAGAATTAGTTTACCTGTTTGGGCTGATTGCTGGAAACTCCAAAAAGGGACCAGACCCAATGTAGAATTGCACTAGAATGTCCCAGGCCCAGGGAGGGTTTGCGCTTGTGCCCAGCTGATAGCCAGAATACATGAATCATCAAAAGCCTGAACCCCAAATCTTGGATCTGCAACCCAGATCTGCCCCACAGCGCTCAATCCTAAAGCCTTAAATCCAAAGCCTCCTAAATCTTTACACCCAAATCCTAAAGACCCTTTGAATCCTAACCCTAAACACCCGAAACCTGCCTTCCAAGGACAAGAACAGCTCCTTCATGCCCTATGAGCCCACGGAGCAGCTTCAGGCCTGCCGGACGTTCCGTCAGCTTGGATAGATCAAGACAGGGGTCAAAATTACAGTATAGGGCTTATAATATGTGATTATATAGTGATAATGGAAAAGAAAATGGAAGCTACCATCTAGGGTTTTAGGGTTTGGGGTGTAGGAGAGGTTCCCTTGCACTGCGACCATATGAGCTATAGTCTAAACTCCTTCAAGGGTGTTATGCAGGGGATTTTATAGCGGAGCATTATAAGGATTGTTGAGGGGTATACTAGGAGTTTAGACTGTAGGTCATATGGAGTTTCTCAAAATTAGGAGTATCATTTTGGGGTCTCAATTATAACGATTACAGTATTTTGGGTCTACATTAGGGTCCCCTTATTTCTGGAAATTGCCATATATCTGGAATTTTAGGGCTCCCTTCAAAGAGGACCCCACATACCTTCTTGAAACCTCTGGAGGTTAGCTGTCAGAGTAGTGACAAGATGCAACTTGTGGTCAAGATAATGGCCAGAACTGCAGCACGTGGCATCTCTAGGATCTCCGAGGAATTGTTTTTATGTATAATGATATTGATACTAATAGAAACTAATAACAATAATAATAAGGTCAAACATGCGGATGAAATCTCTTCTCAATTCAGGTAGAAACCTGCTGTTTTTTGGCTTCTACCTCTCAACACGAAAAACCCAGCAATTGTTTTGGCAGCGACTCGTTTCACCACAGTCTGTGGGCGGGCAGTTAGCTTTGTTGCATGCAAGGTTCAGCCTGGAACATCAAAGGGCTCACCCCAAGCTATGAGCCTTTGAAGTCTTTTGCAGCTGTGCAGCCTCAACCCTGCCCTGACACTTATGACGTGTGGGTACCACTTCTTCCCGACACCACCTGAACCTGTCACTGTATGACATACGGACCGAGACGTAGTGAATGTTATTCTCCAACTGACGCTGGTTCACCCTAAGTTTTCACCCTAAGCCCAGAGCTTACAGTCCCCCTTAAGTAGATAGAATATGGGTATATTGGGGAGCTTATTGTAATATACCCAAAGCCATATTCTATCTACTTAAGGGGGACTATACATACATTCTTCAACCTGAAGCCCGGAATCTGCTTGAGTCGATCCAAGAAAAACTCCAGGAGAACAGCAATGCCACGTTGTTCACCTTTTACGTCTACCGCGCAGCCACCGAGGCACCCTAAAACTATCTGGAGGTTTTGTGTGCTTTGTAGCCGGAAGAGACAAACAACGTGTGTCTGGGTCTGGGAGTTGGGGATACAAAAGTGCCCCTTTTTAACGACCAGGCCAGATGAATTTTGGAAGGGAGTCCCCAAACGACACACAGCATGTCTTGATTTCATATTTGAATGAGGTTGGGCAAGGCAGAATCCAGAATGCCATGCTGAATCCGGACACTTCAATGTACCCTACATTGCAGGTCGCAAGCCAGTTTTAGGCTAACGCGTCTGGCTGCTTAGTACAGAGTTGATTCGATTTCCATCTGCTATCCAGATGGAGGTATCAAAGACTGGCTCGTCATATGAGGCCATTCTGAAAGAAGGATGCTATGTGAATCTTGAGGCTGTATAGCTCATCCATAGCACTACCACTGCTATCATTCGCAAAAGCTAGTGCTACCACTTCAGCTTCTTTTGCTGCTCCTGCTGCCGCCATCACTAAATATCACTCTACTTCTTCATGATTACGACGGCTACTAACACCATCACTACAACTGAAACTACAGTCTTCGCGATATTTGCTGGCAGAGTAGGTTTCTCCGTCAGGCCAGGGACAAGACAACACATCTGACGTAGCCGCTCGTCTTCTTCTCCTCCTCTTCCATCTCTATTGCCACCACTGATAGAATCCTTTTGGGTGTCCGCCTTGAGGATGATGACTACGTTGAGAACATCAACGTGGGAGATCTTGGTGGCACCTTGTGGTACCTGCACAACGAGGCCTGTGCAGTAGAGTTGAGAACAAGAATGCTGGGTAGCTGAACGAGAGCGCTGCCGCTACAGGACAGCGAGAGCCGTACTCACGATTCTCATTCTTCAAAGCATTTGTCAGAGTAGTTGCGTTCCATAATTATGGGGGCCCCAACATAGATCCCAATGTATTATAGTCCTTATTAAATGTACCCCCCAAAAGGGGATCCTAATATTGAGAAACCCTCAAACACGGATCTAGTGCTATCAAGCAAAGGGCCGGATCGTCTGTCCCGGGACAAGATTCACCATTCAAAATATCCTGTTAACCTACTTGGAGGCCCAGGGGACTTAGTAACTATTAATAACTGGACTTGTTACCCTACCTTTACTTGGGGTAACCCCTATAAGCCCATTTAGAGGGATTATAAGTAGGGTTATAAGCCCAGTTATAAGTGGTTACTAAGTCCCTTGGGGCTCCAAGTAGAAAGGCAGGGGGGAGATGAGGTGGGAATTCTTATGGGAACCATCTCGAAGCAAGTACAACAGATCCACCCCTGGACTTGAATGAAACCGCGGCCTGAGCAGCAGGCAGAGTAATCCCTAATGCACACACCCGACAGCCAGCGGGCCGTCCAACGCTGAATCACTCCAGATCGAGAGAGATTGCCCCGAACAAACGCCCAGCAGCTTTGTTCTGGATTCAGGTCGTGTGGGAGAGGCCCCGCAAGTTTGGCATCAGCAGGATTCTCCGCTACAAGCCTCCCAATGGCAAGCAGGGCATGGTTGTAGTCATGTTGTGGAAGCGGCGGTGATCGTAGTGCTGGTAGCTGGAACTGTAGCGGCAGTAGCGGCATCTGCAGTAGTAGAGGGAAATAGCGGTTACAGCAAGAAATGTGAGGATGGAAAGAGAGTTAGAATATGTCTGAAACTCAGGATCCAGACACGTGCCCCGCAGCCTTTGTACGACCTGGGAATGAACTTCGGTGTCCGCTTCTCCTACGATGCTGCTCAGTGCACAGGCCCGAACGGGTTTTGGCTCAAGGTTTGGGTTCTTAGCACGTTTCAAGCTTTGAAGAATTAGTCTTGCGGTTGTATGGTGAGGTTGCTATCCAAAGTCTAGGGTCTAGAGGGGTCGAGCTTGCTTAAACCTAATTTTTAGTAAACCCTAAATCTTAAACCCTAAACCCCAGCTTGACTTCTTATTTAAGAGTACCACTCGTAGTGGCTGACATGAGCGTAACGGCCCGGGATCTCCTTCCTTGCCACTCCAGACATGCTGAGCATGATAATAACAATGGAAGCAATGGAAGCAACAATAATAATGGTAATAAACTAATAATAGTAATAATAGAAATATGGCTAATTATAGCAGTAAGAAAGAAATAGTACTAAAAGTAATAGTGTTACTAATTGTAGATGACAGTTCCCATGGTTAGAGGGTACTGCGTTGGCATAGCAGGTGGTGGCTCTGAGACAGAACTTATTGGTAGTGAGTAGGTAATGCAGGAGTTGCAGACATTAAGGGGTTACTTGTTGGTGGCAACAGTAGGGATGCATCCCCTATCAGCTATCGGCGAGAAACGTATTATGTGCTGCTTGTGGTTTACGACATTATGGGACCTGGTCTTGGCACATGATCAGCTCGTGTGGTTCCCCTTGGTTGAAGTCAGCTAGATCCCCAGAGGCCCCCAGGCAGGCCAGATCCTGATGTTAGTGGGGTTGTCGTATTTGGGGGTCCCTAGGAAGTTTTCCTATCAACTTTTGAAAGAGTCGGCCAATTTGAGGAAGCTCTGTAGATAATGGCCCTGACTTGCTTGCACTACCTGTGTTTGTCTTGCCAGATTTGTTCTTCGTCAGTCTGGTGCGTCCAAGCGCTGGATTCTGCATGATCATCGCATTGGAGTCTGGTAAATGTAGTATAAATGTATTATGTATCGCGCTGCTTCTTTGCGGTCCGGGAGTGACACTTGTCCAAACATCTTAGGGAGCAAATCTTTGGCATAATAGCAATACCTCATACTTATCTTAACGCTCGCAATAAGAGTAATAAGAGCCATAAGGGCAAAAATAGCAATAATGGTACGTAATCATAGACATGCTAGTAATAATAAGAATATTACAATATTGGTAATAATAGAAATAGACAAGTAATAAATTAATAGAGGTATTAATCGTAATGGCCGTACCAATAATCATAATACTCGTAAAATGTTAAGTATAGCAACAGTAGTGATGTAGTAGAAGTAGTAGTAACAGCAACAACAACAACGGTATTAGTAATAGGAGCAGTAAGAGTAATCACAATAATAATTCTAGTGCAATACTTAATAGAAATAATGACAACCATGCGAATAGCAACAACAATAATGCAATAGTAAGACCAATAGTACTAGTGACGATCATGGGAATAGTCATGTAAACCCTTGGGGGGCAAGTGGCTGATTGCCATACTGCTGGCAGACTTCTACGGCAGGCCCTTGGTCGTGTGACGTGAACTACGAGAAGTTCGGGCCACTTGGCGAGCCAGGTCTATAACATGTTCTTATGTTTTTCGTTTTATTGCCCTTATTCCTACCATTAGGGTTTAGGCTTTAGGGCTCAGGGTAAGACTAGCATGGCTGTTTTCAGTATTAGCATTATCTACAATATTACTATTGTTAAGCCATTTTTTATTGTTCTTATTCTGCAAAGCTTGGCCGGGCACTTGTCACAAGGTTGGTCCCCGTCCTCGCAATACTGTTTAGCTGTGACCAGCTGCACTGCCAACAGGAGCGCGCAGCAATGACAGTGATTCTGATACTAGAGCTAATGAGAAGTCCTGTCATTTTGCTAGGGAGTGGTGGAAGGAGAGGAGCAATTTGTAGTATGTTGATGCCTCGAGCTGGCCTGAGGTACTTCGTCGGATGCAACAATCTTGGCATGTTCCCTTTCCCCACCTATGACACACACTATCCCAACGCAGGGGCGCCCAGTGCTTCCTATACACAGTTGGCAGAGTGGTTAAGGGTCAAGGGGTGCCATAAAGGACGGGATGGATTCCAACAGATCTTGTCTGAACCAGTTTGAAAAGTAGAGTTCATGTCTGGGGTTTGCCCCGTCGAATGTCTGGGATTGCTTCCACTTTGAAACTTTCAGGGTGTAAGGAAGGGAGAGGAATCCGTAGGTTCTGTAGCCATTCGCATTTGAAGGCGTGCGGCCCCCTTTCACTTTTCTTTGTGATCCCGCGATCCTCCAGGGCGTCTGGGAGAGCCCACCATTCCAAGCAGTCTAGCATGTCCTGAGATTTGGGCTGCTAACATATTACTTCATATCCTTTCAGGGATGAGCCTTATCCCGTTGGGTTTTGCAGTTGACAACACTTCAGACAAAAGGAGCCAAGTTACAAGACTGGCCCTCTGCCAGATCATCATTTAGACTACAAAGTGATTGCTGAGGCCAAGTGGTTTGCGCTGCCTGGAGAATGCTCCTCCAAGAAATTCGAGGTGGGCAAGTGAATTACAATGGTCCGCGATTCTAGTTGTACTGGCGCAACGAGAGATGATGCTCGTTCACAGTTGTATAGTCAAAGACATGTGCAGCGGTGGCAATAAGTGTGCGTTGGCGATGTCTGGCATGTGGGCGGCGCTTCTCCAGGTAATACCGCATGAAACACATAGGTCAAGCAGCAGAAACTGAAGTTCAACGGCCATTGTGGTTTGGATTGATGGCCCACAGTCATAGCTAAAGGATGCTAAAGGGTCCTCCTGAGATCAAAACCGACAATCGTGACACTAGTTGTGCTAGTCACTGTGGGAAGTAATTTCATCCTGTAATTGCAAGTCAGCGCTAAGAACGTGCGGAGCCTCGAAGGAGAAAGCGGGTAATTTTGAAGGATATCTGCCCACCCAAACAGCCTCAAGCCAGGAACCTCAGGCGTAGATCCCTGAACCCTAAGCTGGAAGCTCCCGTTTTGCGAGGGACAAGCGGGAGCCCGGAGCTCCAGAAAATGAGCTCTTAAACGACAAAAGGGTTCATCACATTCCATTAACGTCCTTCTGTACGCATAGTGTGTATAGCCCCATCCAAAATGCTAGGCCCTACCTTGGAACTGAAGCCTTGAACTCGAAGCTGCAAAGCAGCTTGAAAACTTTGTGGGGCTTCCCCAATTTGAGAGAATTAGAAGTCGAGTTGTGTTATGGAGTTGTGTTATGCAACTGCCAACCCCAAAACCCACCAAACCCTGTAAAACTTGAAGCCCCTAAGCCCTGAAAACCTTGAAACCTTCAACCCCTAAACCCAGAACCCTAAACCCTTGACACCCTAAGCTCTGCAGGACAAGGATGAGAAGTGCAAGGTGGAGCAGCCGGGAGGGCGCTGCGAGGGTACCCCAACTGGTCAAGGCGAGGGACGTGGGGGGTTTCTGTAGTATGTGAGGGTAGTTATGGCTTCGATTAGAGTTACATAGGGTAATGGAAAAGAAAATGGAAGCTACTATTTAGGGTTTAGGGTTTAGTTTTAGGCATTGATTGTGGTTTTAGGGGTTTAGAGTTTAGGCTTTAGGGTTCGGGGGGTAGGCGGTATATAGGGGATATAAACGGGATATATAGGGGAATATATGGGGGAATATACTGGGGAATATATTGGGTTTTCGAAGGTGCTTGGGGTTCAGGGATATTGCCAGGTTTGGGGTTTAGGGTCCAGGTTTCAGGGTTTAGGGTTTAGGGCTTAAGGGTTTGGGTTTAAGGTTTAGGGTTTAGGGTTTAGGGTTTTCATCGAATGAATCCCAGGGACATTTTCGAAAACAACGGAAAACCCAACTAGGTGTATTCGGGCTTATATGGATTCATCGGCATATGAGGGAATGTACAAAGAACGTGGTAACAATTGTATAACTGCATTACATGGGGCTTGTACAGGAATGCCCTCCCTAGTAAGAACATGTTATGACACCCCCCTCTAAATAGTCCCACCAATACAGTACCAATAAAAGATAGTAAGGGAAGATGTGTTATTATGGCGGTGGTGGGTTATTTTTTCAGGGTGACGTGATTGCATGGGGCAAGAGAGGGGGTGTAGGGTTTAGGCTTCATATAAAATGGGAACAGTATATATTTGCATATGTATATGTATATATATACACACATCATATAAGGATTTAGGGTCTAGGTCCCTGCTCGATCTACGGAGACCATGTTTCCTGCCTAGATACGGCAGTTTTCAGCCTGGTTCCACAATCGATTCGTCAGTCATCCAGGAGAAACAGCTTCGGATTCTGAATTCATGTGCAGGTTTCAAGAATTGGGGGGAGCATTTGGGGGTCCATTGATAAGGATGATGGTGTATTAGGGTCTAAACAGAGTTCCCCTTTTTCTGGAAATCATCCCCCAAACCCTAAACCTTAAGCCCTGAACCCTCAACTGCCTGACGGGTTAATCACGTCTGATAGCAGTGCAGCACTGCCAGGTAGACCCTAAACCCTAAATAGTAGCTTCCATTTTCTTTTCCATTATCCCAATATAACCCCAAACAAACCCTAAACCCTACATAATGTATAGTATACCCTATCATAGTAAATTCCATTCTCTTTTCCATTATCCTTATATATCCCCTATATACCCCTATATAACCCTAACATAACCTTAATGTAGTAGTTTCCATTTTCTTTTCCATTATCCTAATACAACCGTACCCTAAGCCCTATATAATATAACCCTAATATAGTAGTTTCCATTTTCTTTTCTATTATCCCTAAACCCTCCAGCGCCTTGAAGCCCTTAAAACCCTATGTACCCCTTTATAACCACGCGTCGGCCGGAGCCCGAGCCTCAGGCACATTTTGTAAGGGATATATTAGGGTTTAAGGTTTAGGTTTTAGGGTTATACTAGGGTCATATGGGATAATAGAAAAGAAAATGGAAACTACTGTAATAGGGTTATATATCATACAGGGCTGAGGGTAGGGTTATATTGGGATAATGGAAAAAATGGAAACTATTATAATAGGGGTTACATATTATATAGGGTGTAGGGTTTAGGGTTATATTGGGATAGCGAAAAAGAGAATGGAAACTACTATCATAGGGCTATATATCATATAGGGTTTAGGGTTTAGGGTTATATTGGGGTAATGGACAGAAAATGGAAGCTACTATAGTATATTAGGGTTTAAGGTCTAGGGTCGGGACTCAGTGATTTGACGTTGCTCTTCACTTACTGGCGGTTTGTAGGGAATCAGGGAATATACAATAGGGCTTAGGGTTAGTGGATTTTAAGGGAATATAGTGCGGTTATAGTTATATAGGGTTGATGGAAGAGCAAACAGAAACCACAACATTATAATAGGGCATATTTTGGGGTTATAGTAGTGAATAAGGGAATATATCATACAGGGATTATACTCTCTCATTCCCTACTAAGCACCAGTAAGTTCGTACTCGACATGCAAGGAATTGAAGACTCTTAGTTTCCGGCATTTGTTCTCATCAAATTTCAGAAGGAATTTCTGTGGACGAGGGCCAGTGCGCAACACCCATGGCCCAAACGGTTTAGTGTTTAGGGTGTAGGGTTTAAGGTAAGTTTCAAGGGCCACTGAGTTTCCTAAAAGCCAATACAATCAATTGAATTTAGAACAGAATCAGGCAGAATCCACAAACGTACTTGTATGTTCTTAGGAACTACCAAAAGGTTGTGTACAACCAACGAGCCAAACACTTGTTGGGAAGCACTAGAAGTTTTGTAAGTGTGGGATTATTGGATTTTGGGCACTGGTCCTGGTCCGTGTAATTTTGTTGACAAATTTCTTTCGAAACGAATAGTGGAACCTAAATCCTGGATTCTTCTCTGTCAGCCATTTGTTCTTGCCAAATTTTGGAACGAATTTACATGGGCCGGGATCATCTTTACTGCAGTTGAGGATCGAGGTCCCGTATGTAGTTGGAGTGCGGCGCATAGCCGCCCGTGTGTTTTCGTGCATTTTTTATGTTTCGGAGGGCTTCATGGGTGGGGGGTTATGATTTCGTGCATTTGGAACTTTTACGTTTTGCAGGGCTGCATGGGTGGGGGGGTCATGATTCTGTTCATTTGGAACTTTCCGGTTTTGCAGGGCTGCATGGGTGGTGGGGGGGGACATGATACCGTTATTCTTGAGTTTTCAGGTTTTGCAGGGTTGAATGGGGTCCTTGCGAGGGGCAAGATTTTTTTCGAATTAGGACCTTATCAGGAACTAGTCAAATTCAAGGTCTTCTTAGGAAGTATTTCATAGTAGTACCTTATGCGATAATATTTCAAATTGGTGCCTTCCTAGAGACTATTTTCCGTCAGGGCCTTCAGAAGGACTATTGAAATTGAGGCATTCTTCGAGTCTATTTCAAGATCAGCTCTTCTTCGGAATGTTGCAAATTAACAGCTTCAAATTTGTGCCTCATCAGGGAAGGACTCTTTCAATTGAGACTCATGTTAAGGATTATTAGAAAATAGTACCTTATCAGCAATTATTTCAGTTGAGACTCTTGTTAGGGATCATTTCAAGTTAATACCTTCTCAAGGACTACTGCAGTTTTGAGTCTTGTTAGAAACTATTTCAGTCTTGTACCTTAATAGGGAGGGAACATGGCAGATTCGATGCTTCTCTTGGGATATTTGAGATTAGGACCTCCGTAGAGACTATTTCTATTTAACTCTTATTTTGGATTGTTTCAGGTTTGTACCTTAGTAGAGAAGTAGTATTTCGATTTGGACTGTTGTTAGGGATTATTTTAAATTAGAGAACCTTCTTAGGGCTTATTTCAACGGAGAGTCTTGTTAGGGATTAGTTCAAATTAATACGTTATTAGGGAGTATTTCAATTCAAACTCTTCTTAGGAATTATTTGAAATTACATCCTTAGATGTAAAAGATTGAATCAGTCCTCCTACCACGACTGCCATGACGCAGTCCATTTTTGGCAACAACGGTTGGCTATCAGATTAAACAAGTGCTGGTGAAAGGCACGAAAAAAACAAGCTGCAATTTCGTGAGGACCAACACAAAACCGAAGATGACCAAACAAAATTTAGCTCCGCATCTGCAGATCCCAAACTACTTGACGAACCCGAGGGGCTAATTTTTCAACAACAAATTACACTGTTCTCAGAAATCACACGCCTGCTATAGTTTCGCGCATATGGAAACATGCCCTTTGCCCTCTCGTACCACGGGCGGCTACGCGCCACAAAGCAGCCCCAAAGGCTTTCTCAGGTACTCTTCGTTCTCATTGCGACTCATGAGCATTACCCATGGGCTTGGCTCACGATCCGAAACTTTGAGGCTGTAGCGAATGTCTTAGGCGTACGCCCAGCTTCAGCCCAAGCCTAAACAACTCTTGTTTGGGACTCCTCTGTTGGCCCATGTCCTGGCTCGGTGTTGAAGCCTTGGCCGTCCAGAGCCCACTTATCAGGACTTCAGGCGTTAGAAGTTTGGATTCGGGAGTGTTGGGTTTCCTGAAGCTGGGAGCATGAACCTTGAACCCTGTTGAAATTAACCATTATACAGACGACGATATGCGTTATGTATCTATATTACTGTGGCTGAGTTTAAGTTCCTTGCAAGGCAACTGCACCTACAGCATCGAGCTCATCGGCAATATGTCGCTGGATGAGATCGAGGGAATTCCTCCCTATGAGATGTTCATCCACATGGCAGGATGGGTTGATGGAAGAAGGAAAATCTGAAGATGCAAGCCTAGCTAGTCCCGGGGGAATTTAACTGGATCTTACAGGATCACACCATCGTGTTTTAATGCCTGTATCGGGTTGCTGTTGCCCTCTCAGAGCGAGAGGTTCTTGCGAGTTGTACAGACCGCTGCCCGCAACACTGAGCCCCGCAATTTTGACCTTCATGTAAGCCGAAAGGAGATCGTTTAGGATGCTGCACGATGTTTACCAGCAGGCATCAGGATACAGCTCGTCTCACATCAGTCTCAGTTGCAGGAGAGCATGTTGAGTACAACAAGACAACGGACAAGGGTGTTGGCGTGACATTCTGGAGACTTGGGTCTGTGTCAGATTCTCTGAAGGGGCCTGGAGCACGAAACGTAATGAACTGCTTTTCTCAGATTTTCTTGCTGAATCATGCAGGGGTCCGAGAGTCTTCTTGCACCGATGAGTCAGCCAGCGCTCAGACTGTAGATTTCCGGTATGTCGACACGCTGATCGGCTTTGTAGGACTGTTAGGGCTGCCTTGTAACCGAAAGGCTTGTGATCGTACATCATGCATCGCCTGGGAACCCTAGTACTCCGCAGGCTCAAACAACGCGGAAAGAGCTGGATCGCCAAGCTTGTTTCTAGCATCATGGGGGTCGCACTCAACCCCTGATTCACGCCAGAAGTTGCATTTGACACATGCCTCTGATTGAACGCACTTGTTTGAGGTTTTTTGATAGTGTGCCTGATACCACATGACGACAGTCGATCAAAGATTCCTTGTCCTGAAAGCGCTCAAGACGAGCGATAGACCTTTCCAAGTAGGTGCAGTCGTGCTTCCTAGTTACCCTTGCGCTTTTGAAACAAGTGCTGCTCTTACTAAGTGCTTTGGGTCGACGTGAGGTGGCAGTGTGTATGACTGAGGGATGGCATCAACGACACGGCCAAGAATGTGGAGCGCATCGAGAGAGTCCGCATGCTTTTTGAGCACCACTATCCCGACCAGGCCCTCGATGAGGACATGACGCCTCCGGCCTGTGACTTTGATTTCGAGGTCTTCTACGGAACCTCCACCACCACAACCACTACTGTTGGCACCACCACCACCACACTCAGCACTGAGTCAACGACCACAAAGTTTTGGTTCTACCCTACATCAGCTGCCCCCACCACGGAGACAGAGGCGGCCACATCCGAGGAGGTAACGACTTCTGAAGAGACCACGGGTGCCCCAATCGTGACCACCACCACCACAACCACCACTACCACCACTGTCGAGGCTGTGTCAACCACCGCAGAGACCGTAAATGCCACTACAGAGGCCGCTACCGAAGTTGCGGAAACAACCACTCTTGGACCTACGACAACTCCATATGGCTGCAAGGCCCCTTGCCAGAAGGTTATTGGGGACTGGGTTGGGATTCGGGTCGCTTTCTTCATGTCTTTTCTTAAGTTCTTCTCTCTCAGTATTGTTGCTGGTGTTCTACTTGTTTTCATCATGATGATCAAATGTAGCTGCATTTCCTGAGGATGCCACCATCGGCTCACATTGCTACTCATCGGTGGTGTGGGCCATGGAGCACGGGCTCAAGTTGCACCCAACTTGGCTCGGGCCTGAAGGGCGCTTTTTGTGGTGATTCTTGCAATCACAAACCTAGCAGCTCCAAGCGTTTCAAGTGTGTAGATGGGACCTTGATTTCAACCCATCTCCAATGTGATCGAATTTCCTGAGGAACAACAATTTTCCCCCCAATCTCAGATGTCCTCTATACAATGCCTGGCTAGAACGGGGACGTTGATTACCAGGGGTGGGGTGTGTTGCTGAGAAGGCGCCTCATGCTCGGAAATGCTCTTGTGCGCTGCCTTGCAGGGACTTGGGCATTTTGTCCGGATTCGGGTCCCTGTTGATACACATCCACCAATTTTTTTGCCCTCCTTACAAGACATCGCACGCGCGCTTGCTGAGTGGACTTCTGAACACGTGCAACTGAGAGCTTGCGGCAGACCGTCAAGCTGTGCTTGACTCTTATCTAAGCGAACATGTATGGAGCTTCCAGAACAGAGGGACGCCCTTGGGCCTTGGGGCCTGGTGCTTAAATAGTTTGATCAAAGCCTGTTTCGGAGACCAGCATGAGGTATCCTGGCCTCACCTCCGAGTCCACCTTCGCTGAGTTCCAGGCTGCTGCCGTTGCCCGTGTTTCAACGTGCAAGGATGAATCAGCAGTACTCAAGCCAGGGCTACAGAGCACCCAGGAGACACTACTGGACTTGAAAGCAAGTTATTTGCCATTCGGGCATGAGGGATGACGGCGGGTCAGTCCTCACCACCCTGACAATCTCAGCTTGTTTTTCAGGGCCGGGTGCACTTGGTCACGCCGGACGTGTGCCCAGTGCCTTGCACGGCCCACGCTGGCTGCCACGATGCTGTGGAGGGTGAGTCCTGCTACTCTGCCGTGAAGTGGGCCGCAACCTCGGCAAGGGTTCTTGAGCCCCGGCAACTTCAAACCCCCTGGGGAGATAGTGCTTCTAGACTCATGGATTTTCGGCGTTTATGTGTGAGGCCTGGGAGCACCCTTTGTTTGGCCTTGCACAGTCCAGGTTTGAGCTTAGAGTTTCGGGCTCCATGGAGCCTGTGAGGGCCTCCTGTGATGGAAGAGGGCATGAAGTGACTGCAAGTCATGGCATCTCCTAGCACTTCTAGTGCTACTTACCTTGTTCGAAACAGGCCCTCATCGAAAAACACAGAAGCTCAAGCTAAACCCTATATATTATCCCATATAGCCCCAACATAACCCTAATATTACCCCAATGCGTACCTATATCCATCCCCCCCCCTCACCAGCTTTCAAACTTGCACGGCTGTTAAGACTTGAGGCCATGAAGTCCGGCATCAAGAGGCATCCCAAGTGGAGCTTTGGCTGCTCAAAACGGGGCTTTTGGGTATTTGGATATCTTCGATCTGTTGCTTCTCAGGCTTTGGACAGGTTTATTGTTTTCGTGCGGTTTCAGGATTCATGGCTTATCATGGTTCCCTTCAACAAGGAGAGGCATGCATACTGATTGTAATTAATGTGCGCTGAGACACCGAAACTCAAGGCATTCCCTATGGACTGTGTGGAGGGGTACTCTCAAGTGTATGGCCTGGCGTACGAGCTTGAAATCCTATCACACCCGCAGACAGAGGGATTGCATCACCTGCTGTTCATGGTTTTCCTGGTACGGATTGTTGAGGAGTTTTTTCAGCATGTAGCTTGTGCGAGGATCCCAGGTCCAAAGTGGCTGCTGGCCACAAAGAATTGACAAGGAAGGGATGTGCCATGTGAATTTGCGCACCAACTAGAATGTAGGGATTGCAGGCTATCCTCTGGTTGAAAAGTCTCTGTGGGTTCAGGACGAGTTCCAGACATGCAGACTTTCTTGGACCTCTGGACTCCAACTAAGCTCCATATACTGCTCGACCTTAAGCCCAAAGTGTCATTCTGTGAAACCAAGCGGGAGAATCTCAAATCGACGTGAAGGAACCCTATAATTACATGAACCCAGTTTCCATTGCATCTTCCGTTTTCTTTTCCATTTCGGTCTCCGTTATTGGGGCAATCTATAGTTATGTATCCCCATATCACCAACCTTTTTTTGTAGTTTCCATTTCATTTACCATTTGACCCTATAAACCCTAAACCCAAATCCTTTAAAGAATAACTGCATGTCCTGTGGTCTGCTTATTGGGCCAATACATCCCGGGTAGGGTATTATTTTTCCCTA